GAGCGTAGCTGGAAGCCATTTCGAGCCACCGACAGCGTGCCGAGTATTCATATGTGCGAACATTTCATTTGCTCAGAGTCGACGGAGATAGTTGAGTGGTGGACTCGAGCGACCATGCACGGCGGAGATGTGAAGTCGGTCATCGTCCATGTCGAGTCGTCTCTGAGGTTCAGGGAGCGAATCCTGGCAGATGGAATACAGTCTGGCAGCTGTCAACGACGTTTGTGCAGGCGAAGAGTTGTGTACAAAGTTCTTGGGGCATCAACTTCGCGCTCAAGAGCGGGGCGCTCGACCTTTGAGTCTCACATCAAACGGCTGGCGTCTCCTCAAGTTTCCCAGCTTCGAATTTCTGAGTGGACGCCATGCACACGCTGGACAAATAGTCGCCACAAATGCACCGAAGGATCGGCGGTTGACTCGCTTAGGGTGGCCGCGGTCGCGTCCAGGACCGCCGGACCTGGGCCTGACCCGTGGTCTAGTCGGAGGTTCGACAGACCTGTAGAAAAGAAGAATGACGCCGCAGAATTGAACGGGATACAACTCTCGTGAGACCAACGCCGGGCATGACTCCGACACCGAAGACTATGCCAGAGTATACACTGTATCAGATAGATAACAACTGTTGTAGCTCACCGTATGCGAGCAGAAAACTCAGAGTCACCCTTCCGACGCATACTATACTGCATTCTTGACCTCATCCGATTTAGACAACCGTGTGCCTCCATAAAGCGAGCTTGTTATTCGCGTTTTCCGGCGGATCTCTCGCTCTGCGGCCTGCTACGAGGGCCGATAGCGGAGACCTCGACCGTATTGTTGTCAAGCCTGATTCTAAGCCAAATTATTTCAGAGGCTGTTACCTAAGCAAGCGGGTGTCTTGACGAGGCTAAGGCGAAAGATGCGATGAACAATGGGCAAAATCGGTTGTGTCCGATTTGGTGATTGTCACTATCGCGAATGCCTCTAGGGGGTGGAATACAGATGTGCCCAGTGACAGAAGCTGATTGTGGTATGGAAGAACGTGTCCCGAGAACTTGAAGGCCCCACGACACTTTGCGTGATGGCAGTCATTCGATACCATAAACTTTGAGTCTCCTGCTTGCATAATTACAAATGTCACAGTGTCCACTCGACACAAAACATACTCCAGTGTACTTGTCGGCGCCGGTTCATGTCTCTGCACTATTCTCGT